GTGTGTAGCCAGCAGCCGCCATTAGTGGCCGTCCAGAAGCCGGCGACTGATGTGCCTCGCCTGGGAAGAGCGCAATGATGGTGCCAACTTGGGCCAGTGAAGCAACGTCCTCCACAAACTAGACTGAAGAACAAAACGACAGCAACTTGTCTGTTCCCCTTCTCCCAATTCCCCAATAAAAATCTTTAAAAAACACACACACAAAAAAAAAACCTTGGAGATAAATAAATATATACAGTAAAACCTGGGATTGCGAGTAACTTGGCTTGTGAGTGTTCCACAAGATGAGCAAACATTTCTAATACATTTTAACGTGGTAAATGAGTGATGTCTTGCAATACGAGTAGTTTGTTTCTGGAACAAATTATGCTCGCAAACCAAGGTATTATGTATATATAAGAGGGAGAGAGAGAAAGGAATTGGCTCATGTGATTATGGAGGCTAAGAAGTCCAAGATTCTGGGCCGGCCGAGTGGCTCAGTTGGTTAAGAGCTTGCTCAAGAGTGCGAGCTCTGAGCAACAGGGTTGCTGGTTCGATTCCTGGCCCAAGCTGAGCTGCCATTGAGCTGCCAACAGGTGGCAGGATCGCTCAGCTAAAAAAATAAATAAAAATAAAGTCCAAGATTTTCATTCAGAGCCAATGGTGTATTTCCGGTCTGAGTCCAAAGGGATCCGTGTCCCATCTCAAAGAGAGGCAGAGAGAAAGAATTCTTTCTTTCTTGCCCAGCCTTTTATTTCTATTCAGACCATCAATAGATTGGATGAGGCCCACCCACACTGAGGAGGGCAGTTTGCTTTACGTAAGTCTACTGATTCAAATGCTGATCTCATCCGGAAACATGGGAACACATGCACGCACCCAGACATGTGTTAACCAAATATCTGGATATGCCGTGGTCCAGTCAAGTTGACGCATAAAATTAACCATCACAGGGGGCTTTGGGAAACCCCCATACAATCCTTCTTTAGCTTTAGCTCTGTACAGACTAGAAAAGTAGCCATCGCCAGCCCTGGGCTCTTTCCAGCACATCGTTTTATAAATAAAATTGGGTGCACTACACCCTACTTCCAAGGTTGTTATGAATAAATGAGAAAGTGTGTTCATTTATTCATTTCATTCAATAAAGTTGCCGCCTATGTGGCCAGGCACTGTGCTAGACAGGGGAGTGTGTAGGCAGCAGGTGACAGGAGATGTGGCACAAAGGGTGGGCAGGTGGGCAGGGGCTGGATTATACAAGCCTTGGGACTACGGTAAGAACTTTGGATTTTGTTCTAAATGCAATGGGGGGGGGGGTCCCTGAAAGGAGGTTAGCATTGTGCCAGTACAGTGAGCACCCGTGTGCTTGTTATTCAGCATTCCTACCAGGAAGTCCTGTCAGATGCTCAATTTCAACATATCTAAAATCAAACCCAGCCATCTTCTCTGGAATCCTTCCCACGTTGACTCCTTTCTAAGTCACCCACTTCTATCATCTAGACCAGGAGTCGGCAAACTGCGGCTCGCGAGCCACATGTGGCTCTTTGGGTACGTTCCATCTCAAAAGTTTGCCGACCCCTGGAAGAGCCAGTCCTGCCCCTCACAACAATTTAAAAATTATTTGAGAGCCATAAATATATGTTTACATAATCATTATTATGTGAATAATATCCTTTAAAATTTTTATAAATGAAACTATGATAGTTTTATTTTCATTTTCAATTTTACTTCAGAGCCTGCGGCTTGTGTTCCAGTTTGCTGACCCCTGGCGGCTCTTCTGTCTCAAAAGTTCTAGACAATTCAATTATCTTTAATTCTGCATTCTCTTCTTTTTCTGCCAATTTAATCTTTATCTCACATTTGATCTTGAGCTAATTACTTTATCTTGCTGAGCCTATTCCTAAAATGGAGATAATACTTCATCAGATGAAGATTAAATGAGCTAAATGCATATAAATTGCTTAGCATGTAGCAATAATTCACTAGATTTTGGCTCTCATTACTTTGGGCTAGGAATGAGAGATACACAGATAAGCAAAAGGAAGTTTCGCTCCTTGAAAAAAGGGCTTGCTCTACCCCAGATTAATCTTAAAGCTCAACTTTTGACTCTCACTTGTTCCAAGCCCCATTCTCTTAACAGGATGAGGCCGAGGTGTTTTTTTAATTTTTATTGGTAACTGTTTTTTCCAGGACCCATCAGCTCTAAGTCAACTAGCTGTTCTTCAGGCTTGTTGTGGAGGGCCCAGCTCAGCTCCAAGGCCAAGTTGCCTTTTTCAATCTAGTTGCGGGGCGGGGGGAGGGAGCACAGCCCACCATCCCATCCCATCCCATCCCATGCAGAATTGGACCAGCAACTTCATTGTTCAGAGCACGTGCTCTAACCAACTGAGCCAACCGGCCACCCCAAGGCAGAGGATTCTTAACAAGCAGATCTTTAAGTTCCTTGAGGTAGTTGCCCTACCTTCCAGCTTTTCACCTCCGACCTCACAGACCAAACTAAAGCATTTAGTGTCACATATTCCTTTTAGTTTGTCACCTGTTTGCCATTGCCACTCCTTCTGCCCAGGAAGCCCAGGTCATACCAGAAACTCCCTTGCTTAGAATACTTCTGTGAATATGACGAAGCTCTTGTCCTCAAGTGTCTATACTAGTGGGGAAGACAGACAATGACACAAATGTACATACATGTCAGGCAGCGGTTAACTGTGATAAAGACAACATCCACGCATAGCCTTTCTGTCAAAGTGTAAGCTCAAAGGCTGGAGCCATGTCTTATTCAAAATCTTTGTATCCTCACATAGCACCTTGTATTTGTAGATGCTTGGTATTTTAAAATAAATAATGGTAGTATTCTGGAAACTTTTTTTATACTATCAAGTATTAAATTTGTAAGAGCCACAGTTGCATTCAGATTGAACATAATGAGGTCCTTTGTGCCTACTTGTGCACCAATCCATTGTGGAGAACTATAAAAGTTAAGATAACGTTGTTCTGTGCTTTCAAATGCTATTTTCCAAATGTGCCTGTTTCTGTAGTGGTCTGGGTGTTAAGAGTACAGGCTCTGAGTTGGGCTCTCAAGTCCAAACGGTGACTCTGCTAACCCGTCGCCTTATTTACACAAATGTAAAATGGGGGCAAATACGAATACCTACCATATAAGGTTAAGGAGAATTAAATGAGTTCCTGGCATATAGTAAGTGCTTAATGATACTAGTTATTATGTTGTTATTATGCAGTAGGAATATGCTTGATTTGTTTTAAATATCCATGGACACTTTTGTGAGAATATATGTATTTCAGGAAGCTTCAGAGAGAAGAGAATAATTTGGAGCAAAGACCTTTTTAAAAAAATTACAATTTGATGGGCCGACCGAGTGGCGCGTTGGTTAAGAGCTGGCTTGGGATGCCAGAGGGCCATGGTTCGGATCCCACATATGAGGGCCAGTGACACTGCCCTCCACAGCTAAGATGCTGAACAACAGCTCGACCAGGAGCTGGGCTGCCGTGAGTCGCCGGCGACGGCGTAGGCTGCAGCCCCTGCTGCAGTGGGTTGCCATGGGCTACCGTGTGTAGCCAGCAGCCAGTATGAGCGGCCAGCAGCCACTGTGAGTGGCCGTCCAGAAGCCAGCAACTGATCTGCCTCACCCGGGAAGAGCACAATGGTGGTACCAACTTGGTCCAGTGAAGCAATGTCCTCCACATACTAGACTGAAGAACAAAACGACAGCAACTTGTCTGTTCCCCTTCTCCCAATTCCCCAGTGCTGTTTCCATCCCCCAATTCCCAAATAAAAATCTTAAAAAAAAAAAAATTACAATTTGATAATTGAAAAAAATGAATGTTTGGTAAGAGTTTAAAGAATCCAGAAAAGATCCAAGCTTTTCTCCAACCAGCTTTATTGAACACAAAAAAATTTTATATACAAAGTGACCTGGACTTGCTGCTTCAAAACATGATCCTTTCTTAGTAATATTTTGATAAGTCAGTCCATAGAGTGTAAAAAAGCAGCTTACTCTAAAATTAATAGAGAAGTACCCAATGCATGTTAAATGAGTGGCCTAACTACTTAAAATTGAATAGTCTGGAAAATAATTAACATAGGTGGGAATGAGTTCCTATGACAGGCTGCTGGAGAACTGATATGAGATGTCAAGAAGCCATTTTGTGCACTGCCACTGTGATGCCATCATGTTTCTGGATCATAATGTTCCTGAAAGGCAAAGCAAAAGATATTTAGTAAAACGTTTTCAGTGGGAGTCAGTGTTAAGACTAAAGATGCTGTTTGGTTCAGGACACAACTAAAAAAGTATCATTTTTCTACGTATAAAAGCAATATATGAACACAACAAAACATTTAAGAAATACAGAAAGTATGAAATATAAAAATGAAATGAATCCTATAATCCTACCACTGAGCGACAACCACTATATTTTCCTATTTTATCTGCATGTATACTATTTATACATTTTTTTCCTTTTACAAAACTGATCATATTGTACATAGTTTTGTATTCTGCTTTTGTCACTACTACTCTGAGGACTCTCACTTGGAATATCTTTAGTATTTCTATTACTACAGAAGGTAGTTTCTGTTCTTTGATTGATCTTACTCTTATTACTTTCTTTTTTATTTAAATTGGGGGAGGGGAAGTGTTGGGGAATTGGGGAGGGGGACCAGCCAAGTTGTTTTTCTTCAATCTTAGATGTGGAAGGCGTCAGTTGCCATCTGGCTGCCCGTTGGCAGCTTGTGGCCTCTAAACTCAAGGCGCTGTGTTACAATCTTAGTTGTGGGTGGGTGTAGCCACCATCCCATGTGGGAGTCCAACCAGCAACCTTGTTGTTAAGAGCGCACGCTCTATCTGTTGAGCCATCCGGGCGGCAGCCCAGCTCAAGGTGCCGAGTTCAATCTTAGTTGCAGGTGGGCGTAGCCCACCACTGAACAGGCAGTCTTGTTGTTAGGAGCACGTGCTCTCATCAGCTGAGTCCTCCTGCCACCTGTTGGCAGCTCAGCGACAGCTCAGCTTGGGCTTAGCGTCACTGGCCCATGTGGGAATCGAACTGGCGGCCCTGTTGCTCAGAGCTCGCGCTAACTCTTAATCAACTGAGCCACTCGGCCAGCCTCTACTTTCTTTTTTTTTTTTTTAAAGATTTTTATTGGGGAATTGGGGGGATGGGAACAGTGCTGGGGAATTGGGGGAAGGGGAACAGACAAGTTGCTGTCCTTTTGTTCTTCAGTCTAGTTGTGGAGGACATTGCTTCACTGGCCCAAGTTGGCACCATCATTGCGCTCTTCCTGGCCGAGGCAGATCAGTCGCCAGCTTCTGGACGGCCGCTCACTGCAGCTGCTGGCTGCTCACGCTGGCTGCTGGCTACACACGGTAGCCCATGGCAACCCACTGCCACAGGGGCTGCAGCCTATACCGTCACCGGTGACTCACAGCAGCCCAGCTCCAGGTTGAGCTGTTGTTCAGCATCCTAGCTGCAGAGGGCAGTGTCACTGGCCCTCATATGTGGGATCCGAACCGGGGCCCTCTGGCGTCCCAAGCCAGTTTAACCATCGCGCCACTCGGCCGGCCCTACTTTCTTTTTCTTGATAGACCAATCGTTCATGATAATTCTTCCTCTTCACTTAAATGTCACTGGGGTCTGAAAGCACACTAGCTTCAGAGATCAATCTATCTGCTCCTGGGGTCCAAAGGGTGAAGAGCCTCCCTTACCACCCTGATGAACACAGGGCAAGCCTCAGTCAAGTTTTTCAGCAATTTTTCCAAATAAAAAGGAAAGGACGAGATCCGCTGACATCTACTCACCCGTTATCTGATTCTAGACACACCACAGGAATATCAGTGGGGTCTGAGGTTAGCTTAGCTGCTTGCTGGGCAAGAACAGATATCACCCCAGCATGCTCATCTGACAGAGTCCCACGGCCTGAAAGACAGAGATGATATCATGCTGCCTGACTGTCCAAAAGCAAGCTTAGAGCTGTAGTACTGTCTCTCATTGAATTGTTCACAAAAAGGTTTTTCATGGTCTCTTAGGTTAGTTACTGACATGAAATGGTTTTGCTCTGATGGTACTCAGCTGGTTACATCAGTGTGAAAGAGACAACAGTTCCTAAATCAATAAAACATAACAGACACTCAATTTTCAAAGTCATTCCCATTACCACCTCTAAACACCTTCTCAAGCATATGAGGAAGCTGCAATTCAAGTCCATCTGAAAGTCATAAATTCATTTTATAGAAACCCTGCTGAAACCAATAAGAAATTCAGAGGTGAGACCGACAGAAACCAGTAAGGGCAAGAGACTTGTTGAAATTAATTCCTCTTGGGAAATCTGATTTCCTTTTCTTGAGTTCAACCTCAAAGAGTTATGTAAAAGTCTTTAACAGGAGTTCAGCTGTGAGATCACCTTGACAGCATATGTGGCTATTCTGTGAGCAATTATTTCCATTAGAATAAGCTGGCTGTTTTCAGATATCAACAGAATCGGCTTTTTATTAATGCTTGTTTAGCCTGAAGATAATAACTAAATCTTGGGTGTCAGGTACAAAACGTGATTACAAATTTACTTTACAATATATTTCCATATATAAACGCAACACAAGTCTACCTACCTGAAACTAGGTTTGGAAATAGACATGCCACTATGGCAGAGTTGACAGATTTATTATTATTACATAAAACATTAACTGGACACACTGCAGACTTTCATGCCTTGGAAGTTTCTTGAAGGAACTCATTTAGTTTATTTCCTCACTTGAATTTCAGCCTTTCCATTAGTGAGCCTGGCAAGCAACGTGCCTCCCCAGCCCCTCCCCCATTTGCCTTTTTTCTCCTGATTTGTGTGTAAAACCTGAGTTACACAGATTACCTCTTTCAATCACCCTTCCAGCAAAACTTCAGAGCTTTAAAAAGTCCTGCAGTAAAGAGGGAAAAGGAACCCTGGTCTTACGTTCTGACATTAATCAGCTGAATGCTTTCGTTATTAACCTTTCTGGATTTATTTCCTCCTCTGTAATTGTTACCATCTATTGAGCATGATGTCTGGGTTCTTCTTTCTTTGCTGTGTTTTACACATATTAAATAATCTCACAGGACTGGCCGAGTGGCGCGTTGGTTAGGAGTTGGCTTGGGACGTCAGCTCTGAGCAGCAGGGCCCCGGTTTGGATCCCACATGAGGGCCAGTGACGCTGCGCCCTCTACAGCTAAGATGGTGAACAACAGCTTGACCTGGAGCTGGGCTCTGTGAGTTGCCGGCAACAGTGTAGGCTGAGCCCCTGCTGCAATGGGCTACCATGAGCTACCATGGGCAGCCGTGCGCGGCCGTCGAATGGCCAGCAAGCAACTGCCTCACATGGGAAGAGCGCAATGATAATACCAACATGGGCCAGTGAAGCGACATCCTCCACAACTAGACTGAGGAACAAAAGGACAGCAACTTGTCCGTTTCCCTTCCCCAATTCCCCAGTGCTGTTCCCTCCCCCAATTCCCCAATAAAATCTTTAAAGTAAATAAATAAATAAATAATCTCACAGTATTGTGAGGCTTTGGAGCCAGACTCAAATCCCAATTCAACCATTAATTTATCTACCTTATATTAGGATTAAATGACTTAGTATATGGGAAGCATTTAGAATGGTGCCTGAAACAGTAAAAACTCAACAAATGCAATTTAGTAATAATAATAATAATAATAATAATAATTATTATTATTATTAAACAACTACCCAGGAAAGAAACTGAGGCTTAGAAAGGTTCTTTTTGGTCCAAGTTCACACTACTAGCAAACGGAAGAATGCTTGTCCAAAGCTATGTCCAACTCTGAAGCTGTTTTCACTGCCTACTCACTTATTAAGTGGGGTTGGACTAAAAACAGCACCACCCATCTTGCAGGAATATTAGAAAATTAGAGATTAGTATACAAAGCCTAGCAGTCGGGTTATACTGCATACATTCAATAAATGTAACTGCTGTCATTATCTGAAGTCCTTCCTAGACCCAATTTAAAATAATCAAATACTATTTTAGTAGAAACAACTGTAGTACTAGAACTGCAAGGCACATTTCTACTGTCCTAAGTTTCAGTTTTCTAATCTCGTTATTTGGACTAATCTGTACTCTCAGGAAAGTACCCAAAAAGTGGCAGGATAACAGGAAATAAAAACTAGAGAACAACAGCACACTTGTCTCCTACTCAACATTATTAAATGTTATGCAACCCACCAAAGGGCTAACAGGGAGATACTTACAGCCCAGATTAAGTCCTTGCGAATCTGTGCACAGGACTCCAACAATGGATGGATTCTTCATTCTAATTCCAGGAACAGATGATGTAAGAAAATGAATTTAAATAATTCTAATAACAAATATAGAATTTCTATGTACCAGGCATTGTTGTCTAAGTGCTTTAAGTCAGTGTTTCTCAACCTTTTTTCATTATCATCCCCCACCACGAGAAAAATTATAATTAACTAAATATTTAAGCCAGTTTCTCTGATGAGAGGGAAGATTGTGTCAGGGAGCTCTAGAGTGCCATAAACATTGCAATATCTAGGATTTTGTTGCCCTCGTTAAAAATGCACGCTTAAGCATACTAACGCACTTAAAACACATGCCGAAAAACTCTTTAAGTAACACGGCTTAAAACACGGCTGCCTCCTGGAGAGGAAGTGGGAAGCAACCCAGTTCCTGGTTACGAGGAAGCTGTTTCCCTGGACGCCTCCTTATTTGGGGTTTTACGTAGACCAAGTAACTGGTTAAACACGGAAGAAGATGCGCTTGTGTGTTAATGTTTACACTGCAAGGCTCGTCTGTACTGGTGGTACATCCTTCCTCCAAATTAACCGGTTTCCTGAAACTGCCAAGAACAAACCCGTCCAGGCTGACCATTTCAACGTGACGGGCGATTCAGACCTCGGGCTCTGGCCGCGGGGACTCGGGAGGGAGGGAGTACACGGAGTCCTGGCGGGATTTTAATTTCGGGTCACCGGCTCCCCTGCGGCCCCGGGACCTAGCTCACCGCCGGACCCCGTCGCCTGGGGGTCGCGCGGCGTCCCCAAGCCGCCCGGCTGGCACCGGCAACTCGCACCTTCTGTCCCGCTCAAGTCCCCCCACCACGACCTCGGGGCAGGCCGAAGAAGCCGCGTCACTCACGTGTCCTCCAAGTGCTGCTCCAAGGTGGCCTCCATTTCGCCAGGGACCCCGCAGGAGTCGCTTCCCCCTCCGCCTCAGGCCTCCGGCACTTCTCGATCACATGACACAAGCGGGCTGCGGGCTGGGACGGCGCCTCCAAAGGGCCAAACTTCGCGGCGCAACCTCTGCGTTGTGTGCAGAGAGCGCTCGCTCGGTTCCTGCCCCCCGCGCTGGGCCTCGGTGCTACTGCGGACCCTTGTATTAGTTTTACCATAACCTGGCGGTGGGGCGGGGACGGAGAAAAGACACAGGACGCCGGCGAAAGGGCCCACAGGCTTGGAGAGGAAACGATATGCACAAGGGGCTAGAGGACGAGATGGAACATGGTGAAAACCCCAGTTAGGTATCGGGGAAGTGTTGGGATTTTAACGAAGACGTTGGTTCTTCCTTCAGCGAGAGCTCAGGTGAACTTGGCAAAGAAGGTGGCACTTGTAAAGAAGACTGGGTAGGACAATTTAAAAGTAACTTAAAAAAATTAATTATGAAAGCAGTTATAAAAATAAGGAAAGAAAGCCACCCATAGTCTCTGTCCAGAGATGAGTATTAATCCCTTGGAGAATATCCTTTCAGCCCACTGTCTTTGCAAATGTATGATTTTAATTTTTTTTAAAGCAAGGTTGACATACATGACACGATTCTGTAGCTGTTTATTTTTACAGAATTTAGCATAAATGTCGATAAGTATTCATATACATCTTTTGTAATAGTTACAAAATAGTCCATGTTACAGCTGTACCTTAATTGATTTAGCCAGCCCTTTATTAATATGGGTTGGGTTGCTCGATTTTGCTTATATAGCTCTTTCCCTATCTGTGGTAGTGAAATTTGCAGCGTCCTTAAAATTCCAGTCTTGAATGTTGTGATTCAGGAGTTTTGGACACTTGCTCTGGAGAAGTTATTTATGTTAACTTAGGACAACATAATATGGACCATTTAAATATAAGAAAAAGCAGTTTAAAATTACCCTTAAGAGACAGTATTAGACAACGTAGGGAGCCAGCCTGCTTCCCCCCAAGTCCTGCGGGAGACAGCTGGATACTGCAGTACCGCCCCCTTGTGGTCCTAGGTGGTCTGGTTCTGGCTTTTTAACCTCCAGGGCAGTGATGTCCAATAGAAATGTTTTATGAGCCACATCTATAATTTTAAGTGATCTTTAGCCACACAAAAAATAAAACAGGTGAAATGAATTTTAATAATATATTTTATTTATCCAAATAATATGTCCAAAATATTATCATGTCAACATGTAATCAGTTTAAAACACAATATGAAATATTTTACATCCCCGCCACCCCACCCCACCCCCGCCCCAAGTCTTAAAAATCCAACGTATATTTTCAATAGCCTCGTGTGCCAATATGGCTACCATATTGGCCAATGCAGCTCCAGGCTATTTCTGATTGTCTCAAAGCCAGGTCAGTGATGAAAGGATTCTCAGAAAAGCTGGTAATCACTTTTTAAGGCCTGGGGGTGGGGGCGGGCTGGGGGGGGAGGTAATGAGCATAGGAAAATGACCAAGAGCCCAAATGTTCATGCCACACTGGATTGGAGGGCCGGTTATTCATACTACCCCCCTTTCTCTGCCCCTTGGCTGTTTTGACCCTGGACAGGTAGGCAGAGGGAGTAGGGTAGCTTATACAAGCTGGGAAAGTGCTGGGGGCTGGGCTGATGGTTGGAGGAGGTGTCTGACCCTAACTGTTTTCTACTTTAGTCAGTTTGTGGGGTATTTGATGATTCTTAGTATCAGTTTTGAGTGCTGATAACCATTTCTGGGGCGACAAGGAAAGTCCCATGACACTCATATTAGAGTACTTGCCTCATTACAGTGTAATTTTTTTGTGTTTAGTTTTCAAGGACGGGAAGAGTGTCTTCTCAATTTTTGCATCCCGAGTGTTGCAGAGCACAACTGGAACCCAGGAAATATTTACTGAAGCATCTTGATGGGTCTTTGGAAATGGACTCTGTGTTAAGGTAGAGAACCTTTTAAGTCCCTAATTTTAAACACCTTTATCTTCTTTCTCCCCTCCTCCATTAACAAGCTGTTGGAAAATGAAAATCCCAGGAGGGTCTAGCGGAGAATGCCCATGCCCTCGTGTCCTGACTGGAAAGTGGGAGATGAAAAGCAGGGTGGGGGGAACCAGACCTCCTAGGTCATCTCACTGCTGTTGGCCCGAGACCCTAACCCCTCTTCCTTGACCTATCAGGAGCAGACACCTCCTGGGGGTCCCTTTAAGAAGTGCTACTCTGGTAGACAGTCTAGCTCTCCCTTGCGGGCGGAGGGGCCTGCCACCCCAGAGCTGGCCTCATTGGTCACTGCTTCCAGTGCTTAAGGTCACAGGCCTGTGTGGAATGATCCTGAAGCCTGACTGGGTAATGGGCCCTCATGTGCCACCAGGGGGCACCAGGGCCATGGAAACCCTGCTTAGGCTAGAGGTTCCCAGATGAGGGAAAGTGATCCTCAGATGACTGAGTTGGTAGGGCTTGGTGAAAAGGCACTATGCTAGGTCAGTGGCCTGGGAGTCAGAGGTAGAATTGAATCATGGCTTGGCCGCTGCCTACCTATGTGACATCTGAGCCTCAGGAGCTCATCTGTGATATGGGAGTACCGTTACCTGCCTCATCAGGTTGTGGGGAGGGTTATATGAGATATTTTATGTAAGAGGGGCTGGTTCATTGTGGGAGTCAATAAATAAGCTTTGATAAATCTGAATAAGAAGGTTCAGATTATTTCCTCAACTTGCTTACAATCTAGATGAGGACACACACGAGAAAATATCTGGTTCAATGACGGTAAGAGCCAAATGATTGCTGCAGACCTCAAACAGTCTAGTGTTCATGCAAGAGTAAGATCACAGTGTTGGATTTATATGGCTGCTCTATAAATCTGTTTTAAATGAGATAATTAAATATTTTCATTATCCTGTTCTATGGCACAAAAATTATAAAATACAGTGAGAAAAAAAGTCTCCTGAAATCCTAGCCCTAACTCTAATGACATGAAAGGGAGTGAGCTAAGTAGCAGGGGTAGGATTTGGATAAGGTAGAGATGGGGAAAGACATGTCACATGGTTCACAAGGGTCTTGCCAGCTAAAAAAGCATGTTACTCCATATGAGCTACCTGATAGGACCCTGGGGGTGGGAGGTATAGTCCTGCCTCCTATAGTGGCTACCACCTGAGAGCTGAGTCCTAGATCCAAAGCCTGACTCCTAATTATAACAGTAAGACCATTAGCAGTTCATTTTCAGAGAGTGACCACTGTGTGCTCAGCAGTCCTCAGGCCTTATTAGCCCTCGCATCCTTTTTGAAGTGGCTATCACTATCCCCATTTTATAGCTTAAAAAGCCCGGAGGCACAGAAGGTTAATACTTAAGATCAGCCTGCTCCTAAGTGGTACAGCCTCACCACGCCCTCCCTACTGAACCACAGCAACTTCTCTCACTTCATCAGCAACCCAGTCCTAGAAATGGGAGAGGGTTGTGGAGGCTTAGTCCTCATCTCTTATTCTCTAGAGAAGAAATCTGAGGCTCAGAAAGGGGGAATGGCTAATTTAGAACATGAACCACAGCTTCTTAATCGTCTCTCCAGTGTTCTACCTATACTGTGCTGTTGGAAGCTGTCTTAGTTAAACCATCTTCAGAGACACTCATTGTTATGGGGGTGAATTGTGTCTCCCCCAGATTCACATGCTGAAGTCCTAACCCCCAGTACTTCAGAATGTCACCTGATTTGGAAATAGGGCCTTTACAAAGCCAATGAAGTTAAAATGAGGTCATTAGGGGGGGCCCTAATCTAACATTAGGTGTCCTTATAAAAGAGGAAATTTGGACACAGAGGACTCATAGAGGGAAGACAAAGTGAAGAGACACAGGGAGAAGCCGGCCATCTACAAGCCAAGGGGAGAGGCCTGGAACAGAGCCTTTCCTCACAGCCCAGAGAAAGAACCAACCTGACTGACGCCTTGATTTTGGACTTCTAGTCTCCAGAACTGTGAGACAATAAATTTCTCTTGTTTAAGCCACTCAGTTTGTGGTACTTTTTATGACAGCCCTAGGAAGCCAATATACTCATATATCCATAAAGTCTACAAGTCAAAGGCAATGCCTGTCATATCACCAACATTTGGAAGCCCTAATTAATAGAAAAGGTGGTTGGAAGGGTCACCCTCCCAGAGGCAAAAGGATAGAGCAGGTAATTTTTCAACTTGCTCCCCACCTTGATACTTGGCTAACTAAGATTTTTTTCTTACATTGGTCAAGAGTGGTGGCATGATCCATTTGACTGTGACTTTCTTGGTTTTGTTTTATATCCCGAGCCTGGCCTACAGAAGGCGCTCACTTAATGTGGGTAGAGGGAATGAGTGGGAGAATAAGGTTCTGGCTACTCTGATCCAAGCCTCTCCAAGCAATGAGTTGGGCTGTCAGTGGGTGGCGGCTGAAGTTGGGTACTGTCTACTAAAATTTACAGCTGAGCCCCAGTTCCAGAAGACACAAGCAAAATGTATTTTAGATGACTGAGGATTGGCTAAAGAAGTCCCAGCACAGGAAGCTATTTTCCTGCTGCTTTATTAATTTTCCTATTGAGGATAAATGAGATGCAGACTTCCATATCCAAGTCTTCATTAGATGCCCAGTGAATGCAGCCATGACAAATCGGAATGAAGCCCTTATGAATAATAATAATAATAATAATAAAAGATCAACCCGGTATAAAAAATTGTAGACCAGAGAAAAGAAAATGTAGAAGAGCTGATAAAATACCCTGTCCATAATTAGGCTGTCTGCATCCCACATCACATCAACCTTAATGCCAAGATTTATTGATCTTGGAATTGTGTAAATGAAATAAGTGCTTGAAAATGAATGGAGGGCCGGCCAAGTGGCTCAGTTGGTTAAGAGTTGGCTTAAGAGCGCAAGCTCTGAGCAACAGGGCCGCCGGTTCGATTCCCACATAAGCCAGTGATGCTGCGCCCGAGCTGAGCTGTTGCTGAGCTGCCAACAGGTGGCAGGATGGCTCAGCTGGTGTAACAACAAGATTGCCTGTTCCATGGTGGGCTACGCCCACCCGCAACTAAGACTGCACTCGACACCTTGAGCTGAGCTGCTGCCTGGATGGTTCAGTGTATAGAGCGTGCACTCTTAACAACAAGGTTGCTGGTTCGACTCCCGCATGGGATGGTGGCTACGCCCACTTGCAACTAAGATTGAACACAGCACCTTGAGCTTAGAGGCCATAAGCTGCTGACAGGCAGCCAGATGGCGACTGGTGCCCTCCACAACGAAGATTGAAGAACAACAACTTGTCTGTTCCCCTTCCCCAATTCCCCAACACTGTTCCCCTCCACCAATTCCCCAATAAGATCTTTTAAGAAAAAGAAAAGAAAATGAATGGAAAAGAATGACCTGTGTTAGAACATGTTTGCAGTGTAGGCGTGCGCACTGATGCTTGTCGAATGCAACCTTGTAGCGTCTTCCCCCGGAGCCCCTAGTGGGTCTCAGAGAACACACTTGTGAGGTGACAGTATGTTCCACTGTCAGTAATATCTGCCACTGTCCTTGAGAAATCCAGTGAAATATCTTTGTGTCTTTATTTCACTGTCTGTGAACTTAGTAAAGTGTTAGTGGCCTTTCCTTCAGAGAAGAGAATGTTGTGAAGACAAGATGACCCTCCCAAGTTTTGCCCATCCCGCCATGGAGAGCAGAGCAAAGAGCTTTCCTGTTGACTGCCATCGTCTATCTTGGGATCCATGTTTAGCTTGAAGAGCTTGTCTACTATCAGGACATTTAATTATCCTCTTTTAAGACTTTGGACAAGTCCTCTAATGCTTTGATATTTCAGGTTTTTTCCCCCACTATCAAAATAAAAATAGTACCTACCTCCTAATGGTGGTGTGAGAATTCCATGAGACAATGCATATAAAGCCCATGGCATAGTACCTGGGACCACTGCAAGCAATGAACAAATGAAAGCTGTCGTTGATGTTAGGACTTCAAGAAATGATAGCTGAGGCGAACTTGTACTAGACTGTCTTTCCAGGTTCTTAGTTACAAGCAACAGAAGCTGACTCTGGCTTATGGAGTAGAAAAGGAAGTTTCTAAATAGCATTGGGGAGCTCGTGGTTACTCAAATTGTTGGTGGGGAGCGGTGCTGGAGAGCTCAGTCTAAGCTTCCAGTGACAAACCTCTAACCCCCCCATGAGGAAAACACCCTGCCCCTGGCCTGACTGCACCCACTGCAGCTTGCAGCACCAATGCTACCAATGCCACCACTGTGGAAGGAACCAAGTCCTCTAACTCCCGCGCCCCTGCTCTGCTGCAGCCCTTGCCAGCGAAGTGGAATTTCCCCAGAGCCTCTGAATTGAAGTCCTGTGTAGGTAATGCAAGCAGTGGGGCCTGGATCACGTGCCAGGCTTCAGCCCGGGAGGCTGAGGAGGAAATGTTCCGCTTTCTATATCTGTTCTGAAAGTGTCCTGAACTTAGCAAAGGCATTCATTCACATGGGGCTGGGCAGCCAGAGAGCATGTCTTAGGTAGGGCAGCCCCTTCCCCAGCTCGGAGAGACCTGGCATGTTCCACTCCCTGGCAAAGGGAGGGGAGCGCTTTGCGCCCTCTCTTGTGCATGAGCCCAGTATATACGGAGTGCGAGAGCTGTGTGCTCCTAGAGATAAAGGCCATAACCTGCATCTCAGAGTCCTCTTGTCTGTCAGCTTCATGCCATGGCCTCACTGTGGCTCTCCTGTTCCATTTCTTTATGTATTTCTCACTCACGGTTCGCCACATTCTATGTGGGAGCCATAGTAAAGTAGGCGGAGCTTCCTCACTCAAGGAGCTTGTGTTTTATACGTAAATAAACTAGAGATAATGGGAAAAACCCAAGCTCTATTTTGGATAAGAGAAACTTATCATTACCAGTAACAACCTGTACATTTGGCCCTGCCCGGAGCCTGGGGCTAGTACTGCCCTCCCCAGGCACCAGGTCCTAAGGAGAGGACTCAATGGGGCAGGCTTTGGTCCCTCCCCATGTCTTCAGGGAGGGAGCTGCTTCTGGGAGGAGAATAGGAGAGAGATCAGGAGAGACACAAAACCCTCAGGGTCAAGGCCTTTTCAGAATCTGAGTGTGTTGTCTTTGCCCTCCCTGGTGTCTAGAAAAACATCTGGCACAAAGAAGGTGCTCAATGTCTGTTCCATTAGAGAAAGAATCCCCTGTGGAAATTTCATAGCAAACAGACCCTTCCCAACCCTTTGCCTGTACATTATTCTAGTTCCCAAGGAACCGGTAGAAATGGGCAGTCCCAAGTGTCAGCCCGCAGCAGTGAAAGTGGTGGCCAGACTTCCTAACTTGACTGCTATGGAGTTCCCCACTCTAGGCCTCAGTTTTAATGTCTGTAAACTTGGTCAGTTTCTCACTCAAGGACATCGCGTTTACTCATACTTAAAGGTGAAAAACTAACATTTGCCAAGCATGTCTATTCATATGCATTACCTCATTTTAATCTCACAGTTGTTCTATGAGGGAGCTCTACCCCATTTTTGTGGGTGAAGTAACTGAAGTCTGGAGAGGCCAACTAACTTGTCAAGGTCATAGAACTTAAAATTGTCCATGGCCTTGGGACTTTAAGACTAGGGCTGGCCAGTCCCCAGGATGTAGATCCCAGATGATTCAGTCCCTCTACAACTGTCTTCTCAACCAGTGTAGACAGGCCTGTGAGCCTGTCCCATAAAGTGGCCAAGGGCTGCCTTCTCCTCCTCTCCCCTCCCAGCAATGGGAGGACTTATCCCCATGCCTTTAGATACCACACAGTAAATCAACTGTCACATTAATTCTGGACCATCAGCATTTCCCCCCCCCCCCCAGGAGAAAGTCAGAGGCAAGGAGACTAATGTCTCATTGATTTTTTCAATTGCCAAAGGGGTAGTAAGATGAATATAATCCCATCTGTCACGGAAGGAGAAGGGCCGATCTGAAAGCAGCACAGATTACTTTAAGGAGATAACAGTTTATCACTCTCTGGACAAGTGAATATGAAATTGGGACTAACGTCCTTTATGACTTGATAGGAGCATCAATCAGCAAGGAGAACGTCTAGGGAAATGAGCAGCAAGTTCTCTGGCCTTTTTTCTGCTTGTCCTTTCCCCAACACTGTTTTTTTGTATATACACATCCATAGGACCAGGACAAAATCCACCCTTGACCCACAAGAAATAGATTTGTTGAGGACTGGTTATTGCCAGGTGCTGTGCTAAGTGTTTTATATTTATTATCCAGCAGTTTTCGGAGGTGTTCTTTTTAGCACCATTTTACAGATGTGGAAAGTGAGGCTCAGAGATGTCGAGTGACTTGCCCAAGGTTACTCAGCTAGTAAAGGTGAAAACAGATGCAGTCTGGCTGACCCTGAGTCTGCCCTCAACCGCACACAGTATGTATAGGTTATCCAGCCTGAAAAGTAGGCCAGATTACTTCCAGCTGAGGGGCTGGAATGCCTGGAGGCCTCAGTCAGGGCATCTGGATGGCTGAGGCTCAAGGAAGGGTGATGGAGTGGGCAGCAGAAGCAGTGGGTCTCAGCACATGCAGGGTTCAGGCTCTGCTGAGGCTCCCCCACCCCCTCCCACCCCACCTTTACCCCTGTGCGTGCAAGGCCTGCAGAGGAGGGAAGGTCAGCGACAGTCTCTCAGCCAGTCAGAACTGGGACAACCAGTGTCCAGCCTCAGTGCAGGCTGCTGTGGCCACTGAGAGCCTGAGAAAAGTCCATGGGATAGGAAAGCCCGGGGGCAACAACAACGTGATTTCAAAAAACCAAGAAGGAATGCGCACACCTGAGATCCTCAGAAAACAAATCTCAGCATTAAATTCTGATCCTTTGCTTCAACCAGGGGCAGAAACACCCTCCAGAGTAAGGAGCCCCCAGAGAAGGGCTTTGGCACCGGCCTTGAATGGGGACACACAAAGCCAAGAGGCTGCAGTTTTTATCATCTGTGGCCAGAAGTAAGTTTTTAAATTAATACTGCATTGGAGCCAACAAATGACTGCTCTGTCTAGGGCTTGTTTGCGGTTTATCCCTGTGATCGATGCTGATAACATTTAGAGTTTGTCAGGGAGATATTTCATGGGTGCCCCACGTGGTGGGACGGAGACAGCCAGGAAATGTGATTCCCTAGTTAAGGCAGAATCAGAGATGACTGAAGTATTGATGGGAAGGCCCAGGCCCTTTCTAGCCTCTTGTGGGTGAGGTAAGGGAAGGGGGTGAGGTGGCGGTGGGGGCTTGAGATGTGCTGGACTGACCTGGAGCTCTAGTGGGGACCTGTCATGAAGAGCTGTGAAGACAAGCAACATTCTAGAGGCAAGAAGTTTTTTTCCTAGGCTTTCTCATGTAAGAGTATAACACCCGTGTTGCCCATCCACAGACTTTGTGTCTAAGACACACACAAAGGGAAGCAAATTAGAAGACCATTCTTCCTGCCATTCTTGGGGTCTGAAATGTGTGCCCCACCCCCGTTTCTACATACCAAAGTCCACCCATTAATCATAAGGCTGATCTCAAAAGTGAAAAGGTTTTGAGTTCCCCAACGAGGTGTGATCTTCACCCTGACATCTATAGCACTTTGTACATTGCTGTCAAAGCATAATGTCCAACATTTAAAATCATGACTTTCATAAAATATGGAATGGACAGGTGTCAAAGATTCAGTAACTCATGAATGAGAGAACCGGTAAGATCCTAAAGCTGGTTCAAAGAGCAGTTGGAGGAACTGAATATAAGTAAGCTTTTCAAAGGAAATGTTTGAGTAAGTTTTCTAGTTAAAAGATAAAACTGGTTGCTCTCACATATATGGTCCATAACAAATGAATGGATAAGCGAAGTGTGGTATATGCATATGATGGAATATTATTCAGCCTTGAAAAACAAAGAAACTGACACATGCTACGTGTCAGAGTTTAAATATAACTGAACCTTAAGGACATTATGCTAAGTGAAATAAACCAGTCACAAAAACAAATTACTATATGATTCCACTTATATGAGGTACGTAGAGTAGTCAAATTCATAGAGACAGAAAGTAGAATGGTGGTTGCCAGAAGCTGCGGGCAGGTGGAGTGGGAGTTATTTTTTAATGGGTCCTGGGTTTCAGTTTTGCCAGATGAAAAGAGTTGTGGAGATGGATGGTGGTGATGGTTGCACAACAATGTAAATGTACTTAATGACACTGAACTGTACACTTAAAAATGGTTAAGATGGTAAAAGTTTATGTTATGTGTATTTTACCACAATTAAAAAAAGAAAGCAAATTGGGCCGGCTGAGTGGTGCAATGGTTAAGAACTGGCTTGGGACGCCAGAGGGCCCTGGTTCGGATCCCACATATGAGGGCCAGTGACACTGCCCTCTGCAGCTAAGATGCTGAACAACAGCTCAACCTGGAGCTGGGCTGCCGTGAGTCGCCGGCGTAGGCTGCAGCCCCTGTGGCAGTGGGTTGCCATGGGCTACCGTGTGTAGCCAGCAGCCAGCGTGAGCGGCCCTCAAGCCGCTGTGAGCGGCCGTCCAGAAGCCGGCGACTGACCTGCCTTGGCCGGGAAGAACGCAATGATGGTGCCAACTTGGGCCAGTGAAGCCACGTCCTCCAAAACTGGACTGAAGAACAAAAGGACAGCAACTTGTCTGTTCCCCTTCCCCCAATTCCCCAGCACTGTTCCCTTCCTCCAATTCCCCAATAAAAATCTTAAAAAAAAAAAAAAGAAAGCAAAACTGGTTAATGTCCTACAGAGCAATTAACTAATCAATCTTTGGTGTTATCTTTTCTATTGGATATAAATTATTTATATCCTTACTGGACACTATCTACATGTTAATATGTAATTTCACAGAGTACTGAGCCCTTAATTAATGGTAAATAACCAAGTAAAAACAGAGATACAATCCCCTAGGTAATTAAGTAACCCTTGGGTGGGCTTGTGAAACAATGGCCAAATGACGTTGGAAGGACAGACTGTCCTCTCATGGCCTTATTTCCAGGATTTGGATGATTAGTATTCTTTTTTAATATCACAGTTATTTATGTACTTGTTTTTCTCGCCAGTCTCTTGAGTGCAGGGCTCTGTCTCACTCATCTTTGCCACCTCTCTTTGTTCTGGTTTGTAGACTAGAACTGAAGAAAGAGCAACGTGGTAGAGCAAGTTCGGAGCTGCAGACCTGCGTTGTCATTGTGTCTGTGGCTGCGACCATGGCTGTGATTTACCAGGGCCTCAATATTCTCACCCATCAAATGATGACATTGCATCTAAGTCCTGGGCATTGTGCTGGGCACTGAGGATGCGCTCTGATCTCTGGGTTTCCTTCCAGCTCTAAAATGCTTGGATTCCAATTAGGTCAATTATCCACACAAGAAAGGAGTTACTTAAACTCCTTTCAAAGGAGCTGATGCAGACACATAAATAAATGTAATGAATAAATGAAAGAGCCTCTTTCAGGCACATGCAATACACAGAGACTTTTTTTTTCTTGCTTTTCTTGGAAGAGCCACCCTTGAAGCCACGTGACATCTGTAGCCCTGGCTCCCAGGTGGGGGGGTGGATGAGGACGTGCTGTTTTGTAGCTTTGCTAGAGAGGGAATAGCTGTCGTTCTCTGGTGGCAGGAGTGCCTCCTCCCAGAGGCTGGGTCCCTGGGTCAACAGGCCCCAGAGTCAACAGGCCCTGGAGGAAAAGTACGCAGCCTCCAAGTCTGCTTTTGAAAAAGGAGCAAGTTACTGTTTTATTATGTATTCATGAGACTCTTATTGCTGTTTTCAATTAATTTCTTGACAGCTTCTGGCTGCTCCTCTTTTTGTTTTTCTTAGGACAGGAGGACTCTGGGTGATCCATTAGGGAGGTGAAATGATGTGCCCCGTGGGAGCTCTGGGGAGCTCTTGCTGAAATTAAGTCGAGCACTTTGGAGCGAGATTTACATGGCAGGATGGAGCCAGAATGGATCCTTTTGGCAGGCGCTGCTGGGCCTCTGTGAATATTGCCACTATTTTTTCCATGATGTGCAATGTCCCCAAAGGCCACTGGAGCTGTGCTCAGCCCCATCCCAGTGTCCCACTCTGTCCCTTAATTGTGGGTCTCACCAACTTTCAGGCAAATCCATCTATCTGGCCCCTCCCATCCCAGCTTGGCTATCCACTTGCAAGCCATTTACAGTGTTTCAGTGAGAACATGTCCTGACTGCAGAGGGAGATGGTGTCCCAGACTCTTGAGTGTCAACACACATTAGTCATGGCCACAGATGGTGCTGGAATCTTGCTGACTAGGGTCCCAAAGGTGTCTGGTATTCTCTACTCCCTATGCCTGGGCTGGAGGTGCTTCTGGGCATTTTGGTGGTGAGTGTGGGCACCTCCCAGCTATGCCATTTTCTGGGCTCCCCCACGCTCTCTTGATCCTCAGTCTTGGGAAGGGAAACCAAAATCTCTTTCTAGTACCACAACCATCTTTTGCTGGCTGCTACACACCCTTGCTCTGAAAACAATAACCAACCACCATAAAACAATAGGCCTGGTTTCTCTGTCTAAGCTTCTACTATTTAGGTGATTTAGGGAGAGAAAACAGAGTCCCAGAGAAGATAAATAATTTGTCCAAGGACACCAGCTAAAAAGAAACAGAATGAGGATTTATCTGAGCATAGATCTAAATAATCCCAAAACTCATGTTCTTTTTAATTTTCCCTTTTCCACCCTTTTGTAATTATTATTATTATTATTTTTAAAGATTTTATAGCGGAATTGGTTGAGGAGAACAGCGTTGGGGAATCGGGAAGGGGAACAGACAAGTTGCTGTTCTTTTGTTCTTCAGTCTAGTTGTGGAGGACGTCGCTTCACTGGCCCATGTTGGCATTATCATTGCGCTCTTACCAGGTGAGGCAGTCGCTCACTGGCCATTGGATGGCTGCTCACGGCTCACGGCAGTTCACGAAAGCTCATGCCAGCTACTGGCCAGCCCCACTGCAGCCTATGGCGTCGCCGGCAACTCACGGCAGCCCAGCTCCAGGTCGAGCTGTTGTTCACCATCTTAGCTGTAGAGGGTGCAGTGTCATTGGCCCTCATGTGGGATCTGAACCGGGGCCCTGCTGCTCAGAGCTAGCGTCCCAAGCCAACTCCTAACCAACATGCCACTTGACCGGCCCCCTTTTATAAATATTGAAAAGCAACATTTACTTCATTTCTTATTACAAAAGGAGCACCTACTCAAAGAGAAAACTTTGAAAACATAGAAACGTATAAAGACAAATGATCCACCAAAATAAATAAAACCAAACAAATGCACCACAAACACAACCAAACCCAAGGTCATTAGCAATTCCTCCTTGCCAGGATAAAATATTAACATTTTAGTTCCTTTCTTTTCAACCTTTTTCTCTTTAAGTGTGTGTGTGTGTGTGTGTGTGTGTGTGTACACATACACATACCCACACACATGTGCAAAATGGAATCACATTGTACGTTCTTTTTTGTTTCAAGTGTTTCCCACGTGACAATGTACTGTTAACATTTCCTCACATTCAATCCCATGCTGGTCAACTCTCTCATCCAAGGCAACTTCTGCCCAGCTTTCTTTTCTTCTGCATCCAGTCACATGCCTCCTTTCTGGGCTGCACCCCAGGGGACATCGAAGCCCTTTCCAGCAAATTGAGCTGGTTCGTACCCAAGGGACTGCTTTGCAAGTGACACATACCCACTTTGTCTGTGAATCTGCTTAACTTTATTCAGGGTGGGCCTGTTATCTTGTTCAAAGAGAAGAGGAGGGACAGGGAGAAGGACAGAGAGATTGTACATCCATGATAGAGTGCCCTTCCCAGAAGCACACCCCCAAAGGCGGTGCGCCCTGCTTTACCTCCACAGTTGATTTAGACCCAGAGGGTTGCGTGTGGGGGATGAACCGTATTCCAGTCAGGATGGTTGACCCCTTGCAACCACTCCAGTCCCTTTTTCCTGAAGGGAATCAGTTTTTGGCTGTTGG